GGCTCCCTGCTCGGCGGGAAGCCTGCTTCTCCCTCTCCCACTCCCCCTGCTTGTGTTCCCTCTCTCGCTGTGTCGCTCTGTCAAATAAATAAATAGAATCTTTTAAAAAATAATAAATAAAACTGACTTCAGGCAGGCCAGAGCCAGAGCCTAAGCCAGTGGGAGGGGTAGGCTGAGTCTGGGGTCACAGTGGTCAGGTCTAAGATGGGAGTTGCCCTCTGAGCTGCCAGGACCCCTGTGGAAAATTCTAGTCTCGTGGTTGAGAGAAAAAGTTCTGGTGACCCACAGAACTGGGCTCCAAGCCCCATGTGAGCACTCATTCGTGAGTCTGTGCACTCCCTAACCCTCAAGGTCTACCTCTGCCACCCGCTCCTTGATGACCTTGGGGCAGTGATTTCACTTCTCTGGGCCTCAATTTACTAGTCTGCAAAATGGAGATGAATAATGACCCTATAGGAGGAAGATCATGAAAATACCCACTTCAGAGGGTTGTGCCAACCACTTTCTAGACCTGTCTCATTCGGGTGGCACGCAGGCCATGGAGGGTGCGCATAAGCGTGAAATAAGTATGGAGATCTGACAGTAGAGAACTGCGGGCCCCGGGCAGGTAAAGACTCTTGTACCATACTTCCTGGCAGTGGCTGAGTTGGGTCTCAAAACCCCAGATCGTTTGGATCCCAAACGCCCCACGCTGCCTGCGTGACTCTAGCTCCTATCATTAGTTTTTCCCCCTTGGGCCCTATGTTTTGAAAGACTTTTACTCCTGGACAGGCTGCCTTATTAAATAATCATGACTTCTCTTTCCCATGCTTTATTAATCAAAGACACACAGACGGCACTCGGAGCTTCTAATGGACGTGGGGCAGGCCCTGAGGGAGTGGACTCCAGCCCACAGCGGGATGCTGAGAGTGGGGATCATTTCCAGTTCCGGCTCTCGGGGCCACTGGACCAGCTCACATCTGTCCTTAGCGGGCGACTAGCCGAGGGACACAGTGGGAGGTGCCCTACCCAGGGCTCCCTCCCTTCCCCCCCCAGGGTCGTGGCCACTGGGAGTACTTCTAAATGTCACTCCCCATGTGACCAGCAGGTGGGGCAGTGACTACAGAAGGCCCCAGAGAGCTGCCCCTCCTGGGGACCCGCCAGTGTGTGTGTGTGTGTGCGCGCGCGCGAGTCCCATCTGTGGGCCGGGCCCAGTTCTAGGAAGTCCAAAATGAATAAAACGAAGTGATAAATGCACAAAGTCTCCTTCGCTTCCTGACGCCCACTCCATGCTAGGCAGGCCCCTCGGCTATGCTCTCAGCACATATCTCAGCTCGCAAATTTGTATTTTTTTTTTCTGCTTATTGGAATACTTAGTTCTGTGATTATTAAGCTGTCATCCAACTGAAATGTGAGTGAGAGAAGGCCAAGGCCGTGTCAGTCACTGCTGTATCCCCAGCAGGTACAGAGCAGCCTTGGGCCCCCGGGGCAGATTCCAGGGAATTGTTGAGTTAATGAATGAGTAAGAGGCTGGGAGGTCAGAGTCAGATCCGTGAGCACAGTTTCCTGGGCTCACCTTCTTCCAGTCCTCAGGTCCCACTCTGCCATCTCCTCCACGAAGCCCTCCCTGATGTCCCCTTAGATTGCACCCCACCCCACCCCATCTCGCAGCTCTGCCCACTCTGGACTCAGAGCCCCAGGAGAGAGGGCCAGGGCTGTCTCTGTCACCGCTGTGTCCCTCGCATCACAGTCTCAATAAGAGCCTGCTGAGTGAATGAGCAAATGTCTGCGCCAGGTCAGGCTGCAGGGAGGACCGTCATGGAGCCCAAAAGTGCCCCAAGTGCCTGAGATAGGTGCGAATAAGTCTGCAAGGAGAAGGAATAGGGGCGCCTGGCTGGCTCAGTCTTGATCTCAGGGTTGTGAGTTCGAGCCCCACGCTGGGTGTAGAGATGACCTAAAAATAAAATCTTTAAAGAAAAAAAGAAGAAGAAGAAGAAATAGTTTAAGCGGGACCTGAAGGGCCAGGGTGCTTGTGACGAACGGCGAAGGGAAAACGCTGTTTCAGGAAGGGTGAGCTCCATCAGCAAAGAGGCGGAAGCCAGACAGGTCACGCACAGGCTCTGGGAGAATCCTCGGTTGTCTGGCTGGGGCTGAGCAGGGAGCGAGGGAGCTGGCCCTCGGCTTCCAGGCGGTGGGGGCCCTCGGAGTTTGGCAATCAGGGGAGCGACCGCTCAGAGAGGACTCCAGAAGCTAGCGGAGAGGACACACGGCCGCTCAGGGGGTCAGGACACCAGCTAGGAGAGGAGTTTCCAAATCCTCCCCCAGGGGCTGCGTGTAGATAGATGGGGCGGGAAATGCTTGCGAACCCCCGAGCTGGAAGACAGTGTACACATCCAGGCCAGAGGCGGTGGGGGGTCTGCGACTATACAGGGGGATGCCGAGGGCGGATGGATTCTTGAGATATTAGGCCTGGCCGGTGAAAGCAGGCAGAAAACCAGCTTCCGCGCTGAATCCTCACTTCCCCTTAATCCAAATCTGAAAAATGGGGATGATAATAGCACCCACCTGAGGCTTGGATGCTGTAGGTTCGAATGCCCAGCCCTGTGCTACCTTCATTCAGTGAGCCCTGAGAGGCCAGAGAGACAGACTGACCCACTTTCTGGGCCGGCACAAAGAGTGGAGGCGAGCGCCCCCTGGGGGTCTTGCCTGGACAGGCAGGCAGGCCCCGTTCTCTGGCCTCTCGCTCCAAATGCCCCTCTGGGGCCCCTCCACCTACCCCATCCTTTCCCCACCACCCTCCGAGGAGGCCCTCTGGGTCTGTCCCCACTGAAGCCGGGCCAGGTTTGGCGACAAAGGCCGGACTCCACCTGATGTTTCTTGCCCCGTTTGGGTTTTTGTACAGGTCAACCTTTTTCATTACCAAATTCAACCAGTATGTCACTCTGGCAAGACTCATAAAAGTTTCTAAACACCCTCAATTTTTTTTTTAGTGTCACATTTTTTTTATTGTGGCAAAGTATCCATAACATAGAATTAACCATTAGACCATGAACAATTCAGAGACATTTAGTACCTTCACAATGTTATGCAACCCACAGCGCTATCGGGTTCCAGAACATTTGCATCACCCCAAAAGGAAACCCATACCCAATAAACCAGTCATCCTGACCAATTTTTAACTCTCCCAGACACACCCTTGTTCTTCTGTAACGTGATTTGAATCATAGCAGTCGAAAGACCAATGGAGGGCGCCTGGGTGGCTCAGTTGATTAAGCGACTGCCTTCGGCTCAGGTCATGATCCTGGAGTCCCAGGATCGAGTCCCGCATCGGGCTCCCTGCTCGGCAGGGAGTCTGCTTCTCCCTCTGACCCTCCCCTCTCTCATGCTCTCTCTATCTCATTCTCTCTCAAATGAATAAATAAAATCTTTTAAAAAAAAAAAGAAAGACCAATGGAGCGAAATGTTGCTTTTTTTCAGCCCACATTTGCCCAGTAGCCACAGATAACAACAGCAACGACAGGATTGCAGTAACAGTAACATTTTTGTGGTTTTTATTCCAGGCAGGCCCTGTGCTCGGCTGCTTATCAGAGGGAATCAGTTAATCCTCCACACCACCCTGTAAACTGAATTCTAGATTATGATCGCCATTCTGCACCAAAGGAAGCCAAGGCACAGAGAGGCAAAGCCCCTGGCCAAACAAGGGAGCTGGCTTCTGGAGACAGAAAGGTCAGCTTCCCCCTCAGACCGTGCTTCCTCCTCGCTGTGTGACCTAGGACTGGCGATTACCCTCTCTGGACCTTGATTTCCAGCTTCTGTGGAAAGGCTCCAAGGACATCAGGGCCCAGGACTCACTGATGTGAGGTGCTGTTATCTCTCCAGAGGCCCATGCCTCCCTACCAGGCCTGTCCCCAGGTTCACGTTTACCCTTTTAACCCCGGATCAAGTACTTTCAACCCTGGAGCAACCGCATAAGGGGAACTGGGTGGGGCAGGGTGGGGGGTGAGGGGGGGTAGGGAGAAAAGGGCTTTCCGGGTTACCCTAAACACCACTTCCTTTCCTGCCAGTCAGCTCCGTCCCGAGCACCCTTGATCTTGGGTCTCCCTTGAGGGCAGGAAAAGCCCGAAGGCTGGAAATCACCCCAGCGGAGTCCAGGGCGGGGCAGGGACCGGTCTGTTATCTCCAACACCTGCCAAGTCAGGGCCCGCTCGCTGTTGAATGAATGAATGAACTTGTTGCGAGGGCTTGGAGGACACAGGATGTGAGGGCGGGCTTTGTGTATGAGCCACAGCTCCACCTCCAGGGACAGGCTGTGTCCCCCGGGGGGGTGGAGGGGTCCCTGGGATCCGTAACTCCCATGCCTTTGTCCTCCGGTCACCCCCCACACACACACCCGGGCCCCCACGGGCCCCCACGGTCCACATCTTGCAGCCCACCAAGCCATCCATGCGGATTCCCAGGCACTGTCCAGCAAGGCTACTTACAATGCAGCAGTCTCTCCTTCCTCTGGCCTCCCCCCTTGGGGGGGCGGGGGCTTCCAAGTCTGATGGGAAATCAGGAGTGAGGGGAGGCCGGGAGCTGGTCCAAGAATCCCTGGCTCCCAGGAGGCAGAGAGGGGCTGGCTTTTGGAGTGGCCTCGGAGAAGGCCGGGTTGTCCCCTGGGGGGGGCTTGGGCCGGGCAGCAAGGCACCCTGAATGGATGAGGGTCAGAGCCAGAACCCGAACCAGAGCTGACCTGGGCGCACAGAAGCTTCTGGGAAACTTTTCTGCCTTCTAAATATTTAGACAGCGAGATGGATGGGCAAGCGAGGGCCAGACTGGGCCGGCCAGGCCCCTGGTTATTTTGAGAGAAGTGTTCTTTTTGTGCTCCAGGATAAACGTTCTTTGTCTCCCTCCCTCTCTACCAGAGCCTGTCGGGGCCACCCTGGAGGAGGAGAAAAAGGGAAATAGCAGCTGATCGCCCCCCACCCCGCATTCAGGGGTTCAAGATTCTGGCAGGCAAGGACTCCGGGGTCTCATCTCTGCTCGTCCACCCGGCAGCTGTGCCCCTGAGCCTCAGGCTTCTGCTCCCAGAAGACCGGGCAGGAGATCATGGGCAGCAGATGTCAGCAGGGGGAGCAGGCGGCTGCGGACCCCATTTTGGATGACGTTCCCACGGTGCTACCAGCTCGCTGCTCCCGAGACACGGGTGCCTCCTGCCCCTCGCCCCAGGCTGACAAAGGTACCCAGTTCCCCTCCTTCCCCCCGAGAGCAGCGGGAGCCCTCGAGTCCTTCCTCCTGGAGGCAGGCCGGGAGAGGGGTGTCTGCGAGTCGCGGTGGGTAGGCCTGGGGCCCAGGCAGCAGAACCAGAGCCTGAGCCTCTGGAAGACAGCCTTGCGGAAAAGGATGAAGACCCAGGGGTCCAGGATAGGGTTGAAGGCGTTGAATCGGAAGGCAAGGAGGTCCCCCATCTCGCTGCTGTCCGGGGCGATGGCCTGCGTGAAGCCTCGGATCTGGGGGCAGGGCGGGGGCATCAGGAAGCACCCAGGAATCCTCTGGCCCCCACCGCACACCCACCCCACCCTCGCTCCCCTCCTTCCACGTGCTTACTGGCAGGAATGAGGGAGGGGTACCCTTCAGCAGGGGGAGGAAAAAGATGAAAAGTAAGTGAGAGATGCATCGGGGAGCAGAGGGAAAGAAAGCCCCAGGAAACCACTAGCCTAGAGGAACAGAGCGGAGGTTGTGTGGGTGAGTCCTGGGGCTATGGCCGCGTGTCTCTCTCCAAGTTTCCAGCCTGTGAGTCATCCGTAATCCCCCCAAAGCTTTGACCACCAGCCCTTGCATTTACAGAAAGAGAATTGGAGGCCCAGAGTACAGGGCGGGGTGGGGGAGGGGCGATGACTGGGGGCTGCCCCGCTCAATTCCTGGGAGGCAGGCAGGAGCTCTGCCCGAAAGGGGCAAGGCCCGGAGAGTCCCTGGCAGAGGTGGGGGGGCGGGGTGCTGGGGCGGGAGGTGGTGGGGAAATCAGACTCTGCGATCAGACAAGCCTGAGGTCCAGAGCTGGCTCTGTGTGACTATAGAGAAGCCACATCGCCCTCCATCTGTAAAAACAGGGACCGGACAGGAACTTGGGTCCATTCCTTGCCAAGTGCTGTGGAATGGGTGCCTAAGGTCATTTGAAGATGATCTGAGAGAGAATTTGTAAACCACAGACACAGAACAAGGGCTCAAGGACTGGTGGATCTTATTACCATTACAGGGGTGCGGCAAGGTTGGGGTGTGTCTGGGGGAGTGCCGGAGATACGAAAGGGGGGGAGCCAAGGGCTCAGGAGGCGTCCAGTGGGGCAGAAGCAAATGGAGAGAGACCTCTCCAGAAAGTTGGGAGCTGTCGGACCGCGCCCAAAGCCTCTGACCTCTTGGGGCTTCAGCGTCCCCGCTCTGGGGACTAGGCCCCCCCGCTGGAGGTTGGAGCTGGGTGCTGCCCTCCCCCCCCGCCGCTTCCCCCCGCCCTGCCCCGGCCACCCGCCCCGACTGCAGAGGGGACTCACCGTGAGGGGCAGGGAGCACACGGCCATGATGCCTGTCATGAGGGCCAGCAGAATGAGGTGGTCCACCTCGTCCTCCCCTGCCCGGGGGCCGGGGACCAGCGAGCCCTGGTGGCGCCTCTGCTGACGGTGCATGCGGCAGAGGCTCAGGGTGACCGAGCTGTTGCACAGGACGGTGGCGGCCACCAGCAGGGCCACGAGGCTGGCGTAGGCCAGCGAGAAGGCGCAGCCACCCAGCTCCGCGGAGCGCATGCGGATGAAGCACCAGCTGCCGGGACAATACTGCTGGTGTTGGCCCAGGCCCAGCAGGGGCAGGGAGCAGAAGAGGGTGCAGAAGGCGTAGATGGCGGGCAGGGCCAGGCGGGCGCAGCGCGGCCCGTCCAGCTGAGCGTAGAGGTAGGGGTGGCTGAGGGCCAGGCAGCGCTCCACGGCCATGGCGAAGAGGATGAGCATGGAGGCCAGGCCGAAGAAGGTCATGGCGAAGGCGAAGGCGTCGCACAAAGCGGGGTGGCCCCGGGCCAGGCCCAGCAGCGAGCTGTTGCGGGCGTAGGCCACGAACACGGCCGGGCTCAGGAAGCAAGTGCCCAGCAGATCAGTGACCGCCAGCCCGGTGACCAGCACGGCGAAGGCCGAGGGGCGTGAGCGTCGCCGCGCCCCCAGGATGCCCAGTGCCAGCCCGTTGCCCACCACGCCCGCCACGAACATCAGGGTGCTGGTGGCCGGGCCTACCGAGTCCCGCACGTAGGTGAGGTTCCTGCACGAGTCGGCCATCCCCCTCACCTCTGGTGCGGCCTGGACTAGAGCGGTCCCCAGGGGGGAGGGAGGGTAAGGGGGAGCCGGGGGTGGGGGGGCGCCCTGAGGCCCGCTCATGCCCACCGCCCTCCCCATGGGCCACCCCCAGTTCTCCTTGTGTGTGCGGCTGGCTGTCCGTCTGTCCGCCCCTCTCTTCTCTCCCCCTCTCTCCTTCGTCCTGCCCTCTCCCTAGTTCTGTCCTTTTCCCCCACCCCTTGCCCACCCGGTCTCCCCCTCTGCCTCTCCCTCTCTCGCCCCAGCAGCCTCTACCCACTCCTCACCTCCCCCTCTGCCTCTCCCTCTCTCGCCCCAGCAGCCCTCTACCCTCTCCTCACCGCACCTCTGCCTTCTCTCTCAGTCCCCTCCTCTGTGCCCTGCTCTCCGCTCTGCTGGCTATAC